GTTAATGAAATGATAAACTATACTAGCCTAGTAAGAATATCACACTAATTATTGATACAGAAAATTGAAAATTAGTAAAAATCAGAAGAAAAAAAAAATAACTAATGGAGCTCTTGCTTTATTTAAATACCTTTAAACTTGAAGATATTTGTTTGATACTTACTGTAATGAGTTTTTCAAAAATAACCTATGAAAACCCATATCCATACTACTTTTCACTTTCACGTATAAGAGAGTAAGAGACAATAACTTCCCTTTCTTACCTGCTTATTAGTATCTCTAGGGGTTCATAGGGATATCCCCCCAACTCATGAACCCAATATCCAATTTTACAATCAATTGGTCGTCCCCATACTCCGTCCAGTAATGGGTGCCAAATATTTTATTGCCTCGATACCTCGTCCGGTATGAGGGTGAACCATATCTCCCAAACTTTTTCAATAAGGAACTTTTTAGTCCCGTTCGACTGAGGTAACGTTCATGGTAGGCTTCTCTATGTACCGGGCACGTATGCTCTTTTCCTAGATAACCAACAAATTTTTCACATATAGATTTTTATTAACAAACAACTAACAAACACATACCAATATTTTATCGCCTCGATACCCTGTCTGGTATGAGCATGAACCATATCTCCCAAACTTTTCTGGTAAGGGACTTTCTAGTCTTGTCCGACTGAGGTAACGTTCATGGTAGGCTTCCCTATGTACCGGGCCCGTCTGCTCTTTTCCTAGATAATCAACAAGTTTTTCACATACAGATTTTTATCAACAAACAACTAACAAACACATACCAATATTTCATATCACATTCACATATCAATTAAATTATAGTTATGCTGACGGTATATAACAAAAATAACCAAATAAATTGATAAGACCATTGAATTATAAATTAAGAACATGTACTATACGAAAATCAAGTAAGTAGGACAGTATAGGAAAATAACATGAAATCAAGATAATTATGAACTCATTGGATTCTACATCCAGTAACCTGTAATTATTTTTAAGATTTTTAATTTTTATAAAAAATACAAAATTATACATCGTTAAGCTTCAATTTATCGTAACGAAGAATAGGGTGAGGGATCCTTACCCGGGATTGGTATTTCGAGACATCAAGCTGTCTATTACGTATCTAACAGGTACTGGGTTCCCTGAATTTCTTTTATAGAATTCAAAATACTCATCACGTACTAAAAATACTCTAAAAATTTAAAATTGATGTCCAAAATTTTTTTCAGCCAATTTTGGGATTCTGGCACAGCTCCACTGCCGTGCTTTGACGCTGGCTCGGCTGCCCATAGCGGCGGTTCACCTAGGCCTACTCAGTTTTGGCCATTTTGCACGTATCCTTGCAAAAAAATACGTTATAAAGCATTGGTTGGTCAGAAAATCACAAAAATCAAACTTACCGGTAGAGAGGGATCTCCGGGTGCTGCGGCTCCACCGATCCTCCTTCGTGGTTGAGATTTTTTCTTCAACTAACCTACACAGAAAAGGTAGGTGAACATAATAACTAGAAAATCGCGTGAAATGGGAAACGGAAAGGGGCTCATCAGAGGTATTTGGAGTTTTGGCCACAGCAGCTCTGCCAGACTTTACCTGCGGTT